TGGTACCTATTTATCTACTCACATTTTACATGCTTTCAAACTGCTAGGTTGGCATGAGCTGGTACAAGAGATGGGAGCTCACTCCGTTGCGTGGATTCGATCTTACGACTGCTGGTCTTTGACTTTGCAGTACTGAGGTTTCTGTGGTTTAACCCACAGCGCCACCATCTCCCATGTTCTGGGAGGTGGAATCCCACCTCCCAGAACCAGACCTTACAGACTTCTAAACTGTGGTCACCTGGAGAGAAGACTCAACCAGCAGGCTTCAGGCCTGAGATAGGCCTAATTTCCTGTTTGACAAGAAAGATGGTTGCTCGGTAGCCTCTTTTTCAAACAGGAAGCTAGGCCTAGCCAAGCCTGCCAGTTGGGCCTTCAGTCCAGGTGAGCGCAATTTAGATGCCTGTGGGATCTGACAGGTGGGACTCCCAGAAAGAAGAATTATGAGATATGTAGTACACAAAATCCAAAACACTCATCCCTAGTTGCTAGGTCAGCAGCATGCCAGTCCTGAGATCACAAGGTCAACCCCTAAGTATAGACTGTCTTGATATCACAGAACAGACTCTTGTGATACTGGGGGTGTGATATTGTTAAGCTTTTTTTATTCATGCAGGTAACCTCTACCAATAGGCCATTGTTACAACTGTGTTTTGCCCAGTCTTTAGCTCAAGTGTCTTGGCAGAGATGTAAAACAGACCCAGATCGAAGCCTGCCAGTAGGCTCTGGCTTCATATGAGGGACATCAGCTCTCAGACATAGGCCTCCTCTCAACCAGTAAGCTGCTACACCAGGGGTAGGTCCTGCGGCCAATTTCCTGCCTGTAGGACACTGTAGTGTAGAGGCTACACAGAGTGACACATTGTAAAAGAAGTGAAAACAGATATCTCTAGAAGTCCACTCATAGCTTTGAGAAATGCAGTATTTGAGGGCGTTAATCACTGCAGGGTTATGTAGAAAGAGGTAAATCACAGCTTAGGGCAATTCCCAGGAGCTGAAATTCACCAGGTCAGTAAATAGAATGAAGAAGGATTCCTCCTTGTTCTTTACCTCAGATGGCAAAATGTCTTCAGTCATTCCTGTGGCTTCCTGCGTGTTCTGGTGGCATCCTTCAGGGGTGAGGTCTGGCTTGCAATGCCCAAGACATTTTGCTACATAGAAGTAGTGCTCCCCTGTCAAGAAGCATCATACCCTGAAGCCAGACAAGTTATTTGTCCCACCAACATCTCTCTTCACTCTCATGATAGAAGTTTATTAACAACAAAATGCTTAATGAACCATGTTCAGCTCTTGAATGAAACCCCAGATCATCCATCTGGGAGAGCCTCCTCACTTTGCCCTTGAATCCTGATTCTCCTCTCTGCCTGTCCTTGTAGGATGGAAGATCAATCCTGTTGTTGGTACTGTCTATGCTCCTGACCTGTACACAGGTAAGTAAGTGCCTCTGTGGTGAAGGATATATAGTGATAATTATGCTGTAGCACTCTGAGGTGGTGCATAAGCCAAAACAACAAGATTTCCAGGAGAAAGCCCCTGTTAGTGTGGGAAGATAGTGGTTACTGTTGACATGGCTGGTTTTTGTTAGGGCCTCCAGACCTCCATTCAAGTTTATTTGTAAGAAGTTGTTCTCTGTTTTTACTGTAAAGCAAAAAAAAAAATGGCAACAATAGCAAAGGAAGATCAGCCCTCCCCCATGCTAAAAACCAAAACAGATTTTGTATACTCCCAGTTGTGTGGGTCCCCTCCCCATTCCTTCTGCCAAGTAGTTTGCTTTCTTTAGTTTAGTTTTGTTTCCTGACAGTGCTCCATTTTTGTAAAAGATTATTTGTAAATTAAATACATAGATTTATTCGTCTATGGGCTTTGAATTCAGGCTTTATTCCACTGTTAAGTGGATTTTGTGTGCTTGTGAGGAGGGATAATTGGTCTATAGACTGTAGGCATCTCATACTGTTTATTTTTGTAAGACATGATGCTTTCAAACTGTTTTCAAGCTGTATGAAAGTACTATAACTATCAATCATTCAGTTAATGATTTGGGTTTTCTTGTACTAAAATGTATGCAAAATGTGTATGAATAGCCTAGTATTACTGTTGTATCAATTACCTGCTGTTCAGTACTTTTTAAATTTACGTAGTTTTCTTGAAATGAAGAGCACTCCCCTGGATCTCGGTTACAATAAGCCCTTTTAGTGTTTTCTCTGTTCCCATGTTTCTGCTGTCCTTGATTAAATTTCAGTTGACCTGTTGTCTCCATCTTGGAGGCAGGATGATATTATGTGATATAAGTTTATGTTTATGATTTTTGTTTTCTTATTTTGTTATTGTTGCATTTATTTTTATGCATCATTTATGTTCAATGCTGTCTTGTACGTTCTTTATAAGTTCCCTTGTAAGCTGCCCAGAGTAGTGGTTCACCACTAGATGGACAGGATATAAATTCAAAAAAACATCATCATCATGTTAGAACTGCAAAGCTGGAAGGGACCTTATGGATCACTGAATCCACCCTCATTCAAGGAGGCACATTGGGGATTCAAACACCCAACCTCTGGCTCTCTAGTCAGATACCTAAACCACTGAGCTATCAAGCAGTGATTAATAATAATAAACACCTTCATATGCTGTTGACAGCAGTTACTATCCCTGTACCTCTTTCTGGCAACATCTTGTGCTCTGTTCTATCATCCCACTTTTTCACCAATAGCCATGCCCTTCGTTAAGTCAGAAATAATGTTTCTGTCACTACAGGAGTTGACCACAGTGGCCACCAAAATGTCTGTTTGCTGTCCCTAAACCTACTTATAGAGCCTCATAACAGAATCACATTGTTTCTTTCTTGCCTGGAAAAAAAAATCCTCTCTGTTCTTCTTAGGATCCTCATCAAGAGATGGTGTAGGGCCAAACTATGCACCACATTGTTAGAAGCAGAAAAACCTGTAGAGCAGGAAGGGACCTCAAAGATCATTGAGTCCAATCCCCCTCTGAAGTCAGAAGTCCACAGCTAAAAGCATACCTGATATATTCTCAGTTTAAAATCTCCAGCAAATGAGGTTTTTAATCTCAGTTTAAAAACCTCCAGTTTACTGGTATTGGACAACATTAAACATCTTTCAGTGTTCCAGAGATCTGGTATAGGTCTTTCGATGAATGAGCAATCAGCCATGCAAACAAGGTCTGTGTTTACTGTTAACTAACCAAACAAGCCAATTTGCAGTACTAAAGGAAGTATGCAAGGTTCCTGGTATATCATATCAGCCTTTTTCTGCACTTGGAAGAATTGGTTTTTTTTCCTGATCACTGGGCATCTCTACTCAGGATCCAAAGGCAGCATTAAGATTGCCTTGATCTTATAAAGTCTCCCTTTTGTGTGGTTGTTTCACTTCAGAATCTGATAAGCTATCTCTGCTTCATTTGGGTACCCTCCTGTTCACTTATTAGAATGGATCTCAGCTCATCTGCCCCAAAGATGGGATACAGGAGAGCCAATGTGTATAGTGGTTAAAGGCTGGGTACGTGAGAGATGTGGGTTCTAATCCTGGCTGAACCATGAAACATACAGGATGAGGTTTGGCCACTCCCTCTCTCTCAGCCTGACCTACTTCACAGGATTTTTGGGAGGAGAAAACTGGGAAAGAGGAGAGCTGTATACACCACTTTCAACTCAATGAAGGAAAGGAAGGATGTGCATGTAAATAATAATATGAACATTTTCTATCTCTGTTGTTCATGGGATGTACCTTATTCACTCTCACCCAGTGGCAAGCATCCCTTACCCCATGATGGCTCCAGCTGCCCTGGCATATCGTGGGGCTCTGCGTGGACGTGGTCGAGCCACCATTTATAATCCTATCAGAGCAGCACCTACCCCTTCTCCAGTTCCAGCCTATGGCAGGTGAGCAGTTTGTAATCATCATCATTATCTTAGAACTACAAAGCAGGAAGGGATCCTATAGAATAGATCATGGAGTCCAATTCCTGTCAAGGAGGTACAGTAGGGGATCAAACTCCCAACCTCTGGCTCTACAGCCAGATGCGTAAACCAATGAGCTATCCAGCCATTCAAGGAGACAGTGGAAGCTGCCCTGTACACAGATTTAAAGCTGTGGTCCATTAGTCCAGTTTTTCCCATGCCAGCCAGGAACTAGAAATCTCCAGGGTTTCTGGCTGATCTCTTCCCTAGCTCTGGGGATCGCTGGTACACCCTGGTGGTTTTCCATCCAAGTGTCAACCCAGCCCAATCCTGCCTAGCTTCTGAAAACATTTGAGACCAGTCATGTTAAGGATGGTATGGTACCATTGAGAGGAGGTGTCAGACTAAGGAAGCAGCTTGATAGTATTGCTACAAGGCAGCTTTCCCCAACCTGATATCCTACAGCTGCTTTGGACTACAACTCCTATTTCCTATTTCCTATTTGCAAATCCAGTCAATGCTGCTCAGGCTGGATGGGGATGGTTGGAGCTGTAGTCTGGTACACACCCCTTAAAAATATGCCCAGGCAGAAGTGCTCGCTGAGTCGCAGTCATGTCTGAAGCAAAGGTCAGAAACCTGTGGCCCTCCAGATGTTGGACTGTCTTCCAGCATAGCCCATGCGGAGGGCAGCTATAGTCTAGCAACGTCTGAAGAACCGTGTTCTCCACCCCACCCAGCCAAGTGTAATCACTTATTTCCTTAAAAGGCTTACACCAAATATACAGTAGCATTTTATGCTGACTAAATGGGGATGGAGGGACACTCTGCATATGCCCAGAAGCGTTTTCATCTTCCTGATAGGCTTGAAGATGAGGCTGTGTGATATCTGGAATTAATATTGCAAATATGAACCAGGGGATGTAAGGAAGTTGCTGTCTGCACACTGACTTTTCTTTTCTCCCCCTGCTCTGTCTATCCAGCGTCCTCTATCCAGATGGCCTGTATGGTTCTGACCTCTATGTAAGTCCTTATCTGGGTGTCTTTGGGGTTTAAGCGGTCTCGGGGAGGTGCCCATGCTGGAAGTCCAGGAATGGAGTGGCACCGGCTTCATGGGGTTTGCAAAGACAGAGCGAGAGCCATGGGGTGGCAGATCCTTGGGATAGCTCACAGGGTGGGAAAGTGTGAAAATAGTGCTATTAGCAAACAGCACACAGTGATCAAATAGCAGATGGATTGTCCGACTATATAAAGTTGAGAGTTCTTGTGGCTGGTAGGTCTCTGGGATGACAGATGTATGCCCTGGAGGACAGAAATCCAAGATGTTTTTGGTGCAAGGCCAGCCCAAGACATTTTGCTGCCTGAGTCAAAGGGTAAAAGCCAATTCTTTGGATTGGCAGCTGGATCTGTCTTCCATACTGGTGATGGAGAAAGCATCTGAATGTAGCAGGCCAGTTCAGGTCTAACCAGCAGACTGCAAAGCACACGGCTCCTTTTCTGGCCATACTTTCCTGCTGCCCCCCAGTATCTGCCATTTGAGGCAGATGCCTCTGTCTGTCTAATGGCAGGGCCGGCACTGCTTTGTCAGGCAGAATTACAGCTTGGTTTTAGTTATGTTAACCTAGCTTGCTTGGTTCAGGATTGGGGAAAAGAAGACCTGTGAACAAAGCTGCAGTTCTCATTGGAGGGGTTTAATGGGGAAGTCACACACATTGTGGACTATTGACATGAATGTTGTGTCCTTTGGGTTGCAGGGTTATCCTGCAGCATACAGAGTGGCCCAGATGCCAGCAGCTGCTGCAGCAGCCGCAACAGCGGCAGCCGCCTATAGCGACGGGTAAGTTGGAAGCTGGTGAATCTGTAATGTATTCAGTGTTCCTAAAGCTGTGCCTACAGATATGTCCTTGGGTTCCTTGCCACAGGTATGGACGGGTCTACACTACGGCTGAGCCCTATCACCATACGATGACCCCCACCTATGGAGTTGGCGCCATGGTAAGACATTGCATGGGCACCGTTTTACAAAGGAAGATGTTTTGGTCTGTACGGTACGTGGCAGGCAGGTGCTCACATAGGAACAAGGAAAACACCGGTCAAAAAAACAATACGTATGCTCCCAGACTTCAGCAAGAGATAAAACACATCACTGGGTTTTTGTAATAGTGATTTTAAATATTTGTAATTTAGGATTTTAACTGTATTTTTAATGTGAATTGTTAGCCATCTTGGGCTCTCCTGTGTAGCAGCAGGATGTAAATTGTTAGAATGATTATAATTATAGCAAAGGCTGAGGGCTTTTTGGTACAGTGGTGCCTCGCAAGACAAAAGCCTCGCAGGACAAAAAAAAACTTGAAAGACAAATAACTTTGACAATGGGGGTTGATGACTCGCAAGACAAATGTTTCTATGGCCATGCTTTGCAAGAAGAATGTTTTCGGGTTTTTTGTTCCTGCCTCATGTTTGCTGATTTTTAAATCAGCAAATCATTTTAAAATGATGTTTAAAGGATGTTTAAGTGATGTTTAAAAAGTTAAAGTTTTTTTGATTGAAAATTTTTAAATCATCTGCATAATATGTATGGCTTTAAAGAGCACTTAATAAACCCTTTGTAAACCAAATTTGACTTTGTTCTGACTTTTTTTGCCCATAGGAACGCATTAATTAGATTTCAATGCATTCCTATGGGAAAACCCGTTTCGCAAGATGAATTTTTCACAAGACAACATTAACTGCGGAAGGAATTAAATTAGTCTTGCAAGGCACCACTGTACTCTAGTCTCAAGCAGAGTTTAGGCAGAGTTGGAGAAATTACTTTTTGGGATTAAAACTTCTAGAATCCTCCAGCCTGGATCTGACTTTTAGAAACTCTGTAGCTTTAATGCATCCTTTCAAAATGGCCAGTAGATGGCAGTGTTTACCAGCCAGTGTTATAAAATTGAAACATGTATGTTATGTTATGTTATGTTATGTTATGTTATGTTATGTTATGTTATGTTATGTTATGTTGATCTTCCTCGAGATTCCCCAGATTTTTTTATGCTGCATTTGGCAGTTTAAGAAAGTTTCAAGGGGTTGGAATACTGGGTTCTGCAAGCACATCCAGAAAGGAAAACTCCCTTTCTCTGATATGGGAAAATGCACAAACGTTTTAGATGAGGACAGCCATGCAGCTCTCCAAAGAAGACTGTATGGACGTTCTGTTTCCGGTGGGCAGGAGAAGAGGAGAGACAGGAGGCTTGAGTCAGCCACTCTTCTCATCCTACCCCCTGGCATGGGGTGGGGGGGTGCCTTTTCTTTCTTTGTGCCATGCTGTATCCAAAGTAAAGCTGTTGATCTACGTATGACTGGTTGTTTGCTTGCTGGAGGATTCTGGGGAGTTGTAGTCTAAACAAGGAAATTATCCAGCTTCTGGCTGGACCCATAAACAGAAGCACCCTGCATTGCATTACGTATGTCGTGGTAGATTCCATCCCCTGCCCCACTTTGAGATACATCTAATGTAATGAAAATTCAGAATAGAATAGAATCCAGAGAAGAGGGGAGAGGAAGCTACATTCCACACAGGCTGGGCTATAAAAGGACATGATGATTCTGGAGATGCAGGGCTTCTGTATTCCTTCCCATTCGTTGATTGTGAAATACACACACACGCACACACACACACACACACACACACACACACACACACACACACAGCTTTCGGATGTTAAGATCACATGTGTACTTTCTCTCTTTCTCACAGACCAGCTTGTATAGAGGAGGATGTAACCGCTTCACTCCATACTGAAGGACCAAGTGCTGGTGTTGAGCCACTAGGAGGCGCCTGCGAGCTGATAGCAGAGATGGTGGGACCGGCGCTGAGACTTGTTTGTGTGTGTGCGTGTGTCTATGTGTGTGTGTTTGTATGTGTGAGACGTTGAGTGCAAAAAGCAGGCAGGCGCTTGGTGCAGGTCACTCCGAACCAGCAGCACACTAATACTGGGGACAGCTTTCAACTTTGTTTCTGGTCTTTCACTGCTGGACTCTAGGGCTGGACAGCAAAACAAACTCGCATGCAGTACAGACCAAGAAATATGCAACCACAGCTAGGTTCTTGGCCTTGGAATCAGCGAGGTGCACTGGATTAAAGCTATGGCTGTCCTCTGCGTTTGTTTGTGTGAACTCTGAAAGCTGTCGAAATCCTTTTCTGAATCACATCCCGGAGCTCCTTCTGTTCTGCAGTGTATGTACAGAAGTTACCAAACTTATTATTGCATATTCTTTAGTTCTGCAGAGTTTGGAGCAGTTACTTTTTGGGATGACATCTTTGAGAATCTTCCAGGCAGCATTGGAATTCTGGGACTTGTAGTGTGAAAAGTAACTTTTCCAAGCTTTGCTTGTACCACATTGTTAAAACAGTTTTCGAATGAGCCCCATGATGCAGTGGTTAAACTGCAGTACTGCAGTCAAGCCTCTTGCTGAATTCAGCCCCAACAGGTTCAGGTAACTGGCTCAAAGTTGACCCGGCCTTCCATCCCTACAAGGTTGGTAAAATGAGTACCCAGTGAGCTTGGGGGCACGTTGTTCCTTGCATATTTATGTTGTAAACTGCTCAGAGAGCATTCTAGCACTATGGGGCGGTATATAAGTTGGAACAACAACACGTGTTCAAACCATTATGACAGAAGACATAGGGGGAAAAACAGACATTAAAGATAAATTTTAACTAGAATTGAAATCATGCTAGCATTGAAGCCTTAGAGAAACATGAGAAATCTGAATAGAAAGCAATTCTGTGCTAAAAACCCTAAAGACAATTACAAAAGCTAATTGGCAGAACCCAGTAAGTTAAGAGAAATTCTGTGGTGACGCACCAATCATTTCCTAGGAACATTTCTCTTAAGATACCCATTGTGGTGTAGGGAATGGACTAACAGACTAGGACTCTATAGAGACCAGGGTCCCAATCCCTGCAAATTGAAATCATGCTAGCATTGAAGCCTTAGAGAAACATGAGAAATCTGAATAGAAAGCAATTCTGTGCTAAAAACCCTGAAAACGAATTACAAAACAAGCTTATTGGCAGAACCCAGTAAGTTAAGAGAAATTTTGTGGTGACGCACCAATTAGTTCCTAGAAATATTTCTCTTAAGATACCCATTGTGGTGTAGGGAATGGAGTAACAGACTAGGACTCTGTAGAGACCAGGGTCCCAATCCCTGCACTGCCGTGGAAACTCACTAGAGGAGTGGAATTGATACAAACCACTCCTTAAATATCTCACTTACCTTGAAAGCCTGGTTAGGGTCACTGTAAGTCCTTTGGTCTAGATCGGCAGGATAGAAATCCAATAAATAAATAAATAAATAAGTTTCAACTTGACACCACAGAACAGCAACAACGGTGGGTTATCTTTAAAAGCCTGTTTCTGCCACAAGTCAAATAACACAACAATTAGAACACTTGAAAGCAGTTTTATAATTGTGGTACAATCAGAGCTTGGGAAAGTGACTTTTTGTGCTAGAACCCCCAGTGTTGCCATGGTGGTTGGCAGATTCTGGGAGGCCTCATGCAGCCTTGTGAGCCATACAGATAGCCATGTATCCCTAAGCAATGATATCTGGACTATTTGCCACAAGATACACTAACTAGTGTACCTAAGACTCTGGCATTTACGTGGGTGGGTGGAATGATGACGACAACTTATTTCAAGCCAGTTTCTGCATTTTTATGCACCTGTATCCTTCATGGCTTCCCCAAAGATCTTGGGAAAAGTGGCTTTAAAATGCTATACTAAGGCTCCCAGGATTCAAGGGGCAGAAGATACATTTGTTTTCTCATTTGCTGCATTGTGTTATACATTGGAGGGAAATGTATGGCCTTCAACATGTTGCTGGACTACAACTGCCATCATTGGTGGCTATAGGGCATGCAGATTGGGACTGATAGGAGCTGGAATCCACACCGCTTCACAGGGCCTTAGATTTCCTGTCCCTCCCATATGGGTTCCTCTCTGGAGTTCTCTCCTTGCTTTTCTCATTCCCTGTCTTTTTCCTTCTCTCTAATTAGTCTTCGATATTTTTCTCCTTCATGACGTGCTAACACTATGCTTCTTTTTGTTTGCTTTCCTGCATCTCTGATCTGCTTTGGGCATCACCTCAGGACAAGCAGTGGCTGAAGCCAGCCTTTTATTTTTCTGTGAAAACTTTCAGAATTTTTTTTTCTAAAAAGTATTCTCCTTGTTTTAAATTCTGAGGGAAATTGGTAATATTTTGTTCAGGGTTTTTGCGCTTGTTGTTCTCTCATGAGAAAATGGAATTTGCGTTTTAGATTGTTGTTTTTCTTTTGAAACAGCTAGGAAGGAGAGAAAGAGCTCTGAGTATAAGGATAATGGAGATCTTTGTTGCATCAAGAAACATCAAACACATTCATGTGAGCGGTTCCTCTGGAAACTGCTCAGTTACCAGCAAAAAACCAAAAAGGAACATGTTCTCTCACGCATCCAAAAACAAGGACGGGTAGTACCTTTAATAGTAAACTTAGAACTGTAGAGCTGGAAGGAGCCCTCCGGATCATCAAATCCAGCCCCTGTCAAGGAGGCACAGTGGAGAATTGAACCCCGGACCTCTGGCTCCTCAGCCAAATGTCTAAACTGGTGAACTAACACTTATTGGCAGAAATTAGCACCACAGTTTCTATTTAGGCTCACTTTGATATATATATTTATAAATGCATAAATGCCCACCTTATTTTGCCTGGGCTGCTCCTTTAAAATCAACAAAAGTATTTTTTTAAATGGGTATATTTTATTTTTATTTGTTGTTAAATCCTGGGAATGTTCATAACTGGAAAAGAAAGGAACAGTACAATCATCTTCATGTCTACCAAAGACTAAACCCCATAGAATTGAATAGGTCTTATGCAAAGGTAAATATTATTGTATAGGGCACTCTCTCTCTATCAATCTCTCTATCTCTCTATCTCTCTCTCTATCTCTCTCTCTCTATCTCTCTATCTCTCTATCTATCTATCTATCTATCTATCTATCTATCTATCTATCTATCTATCTATCTATCTATCTATCTATCTATCTATCTATCTATCTATCTATCTATCTATCTATCTATCTATCTATCTATCTAGTAGGACCTCCTTATCTGTGGGATCAGTAACCACTGATTCATTTATCCACAGTCTGAAAACAGAAAAAAAATTAAAAGAAAAATCCTAAAAATATATATTTCTAAAAATGCATATACCAAAGCCAGAGACCATGCTATGTATAGTGTTCATTATAATCCATGTTTTTCAGAAATTATGGGTGTGGTGGGTTTGAACTGATCCTCTTCAGATACGGGGTCTTACTGTAGATAGATATGTATACACATGCGCACATACATACATGCAGAACATATGAAAGATTCAAACTAGTAATGCTGAGAACCTGTTTTGACTGCTCAGGAGGGTGGCTGTGTGGCACCCATTGACATGTAGGCTGCCCAACTGGAAAAGCAAAGGGGCATTAATGAATGCAATGTAACGTATATGCCTCGGTACAGGATTGAAGTCTAGAGATTTTTTAAAAGCAGGAGTCAAAGAGCAAGCCTCCTCCCTCCTCTTACTAAAAGCTGCTGATCCCAAAGCAGAAACAAGTCCTGTTCCTTGCCATTTGCTTCATGGGCTGGAGTGCCTCCAGCCATACCTGCTTACTTCATCATGCAATATCTCAGGGAAACCCTTCTACACAAACGCTTTGTTCTTTTCAGTGTTTCCTTGTTACTGTAATAAAATCCTTATTCTGGCTAACTTCTATTACTCTGCCTCTTCTTCTTCCTCCTCCTCCTCCTCCTCCTCTTCCTCTGCGGCTGCATAGTTCCTCTTTTCCTTCTCCAGCCCAATGACTTGCTTGCTTCCAATTCTCCACTCTTGGTTGGCAGGGAGTCAGAACATGGAGAAATTTTAAAACAAGAACAGATCCCATGGCCACTGTGTTTATCTGGTGGCTTGTTGGGGGTGGGGGTGGAGACCTGAAGGTCTGGGAAAAGGAATGGCAGTTCTTTATGCAAATACTCACCCCATTTTTTGGTTAAATTAATTCAGAAGGTTTCAGAGGTTGCAGTTCTGAGTAATTGCTACCTAGAAAACCCTGAAAAGGGTCACCCTAAGTCCGAACTGACTTGATGGCACACAATTATTATTTATTGTTAAAGAAAGTCTATCAAACATTCTTGGCCCCAGATGACAGTGGAACAAAACTGTGTGTGTACGATGGGACATAATACCTCTCTCAAACCACTTTGTACTGTTTCCAGTATATGGATAACTGAATGCTAGTGGTAAAATGGTGGACACTTCCCTACTGCTCTGTGGAAATGGAAAAGCCAGGCTGTCCACATTTTGGAACATTTCCCTACCACACAGGTGTGTGGGGGGGGGGAATGAAGCCTCCAGCTCAAATGTAGGCTTCAGCGCCCACAGTGTGAGCCCCTGAACTGCTGTCCTTTGAAAAAGAGTTAACTGCCCCTCCCCAATGGCCAATTATGCCCCTAGATCAGTGGTTCACAACCTTGGGTCCCCATATATTCATGGACTACAACTCCCTGAAATCCTGTCCCATGTGGCTCATGGTGAAGGCTTCTGGGATCCAAGAATATCTAGGGACCCAAGATTGGGACTCACTGGACTAGCCGGTCACTTCTTATTTCTAAAAAAAGGGGGCATCTTAAAAAAAACTCACAGAAGTCCAGGACAAGAGGAGAAAGTGTACTTTCAGTGGCAAATCGCACCTCTCAGAAGCTTCTGAGGGCATTTGACATTTTGGAGAAGGACAGTTTTGAGGGGTTGTGTTGAGTGTACACCTCCCCTTCAGCTATATTCTGTGTTTAGTCTATTGCCTGATTCATCCATGTATTATTATTACTAGTGATAATGTGTAGAAACTGTGAGGATATAGGTTTCGTAGTACATGTTTTTCCATTTTTGTCCGAAAAAACAAGTACTACAAAACCTATATTCTCAGTTTCTACACATTATCACTAGTAATAATAATACATGGATAAATCAAGCAAACCACTAGGTGACTAGGGGAAGGTGCCGACTCTAGTTCCCAGATTCCACCACCTTTTTAAGTAGTGTAATCTAGGAACTTGAGTTGACACTTTCCCCCAGTGGAATAACACCTTTAAGGAGGCACATTCCTTACAGAAACAGAGTTTGGAAAAGGGTCCCCAACACCACCATCATTATAATTCTCCAAATCATCCCGTTCGCCATGTTGAAATTTGCAATTAAAAAAGGATCTTCTCCAAGCTCTGGGACAGCGGTTGATTTGAAATGATCCCAACATTCTTAGTCAAATCTCCCAAATATGCTTCTTCTCATAAACAAATGCTTTGGTTTGCCTTGTCAGGGAAAGTTGAGAAATCGCCTTGTGGTGCATTTAGGGGACAGGGCTTGTAAAACATTCTTCTGACAGCAAAGGGGTACCTTGATGCCTTGCTTCATGCTGCTGCTTCTTTCTCACTTTACATTTCTCCCCCTGATTATCTTTCACTTAAATCAGCAACCAGCTGCATCTTTCTCTCACATATCCTAACCTTTGCACAAAGTATTTCCTTTCTCCTGTAAAGTTTATTTCTGGATAAAGCCTATGGCATTTGAACTGCACATCTTTCCCTTGGTCTACAGAGGAAGTGGTG